GGACTGAATAATTACTGCTGGCAAATAATGAACAGAACTCAAGTATCCAAAATATAATGCCTTATCCATCCCTCTTGCAAAGAAGTATTTTGTTTACTTCTGAGTGGGCACCAGAGGCAGGCAGAGAAGAAAGTTCAAGAAGATCTGAGGAATAAAAACTATAACAGAAGAGACTAGTTAGAAGGAAACAGTTCTATGAAATCTATTTTTTTAAATGAGAATTTGCTACCCTAGACAGGGACCAACCAAAAACTGTATGTTTGAATATTTCAAATTGTGATGGAATAAAGTAGATATTAGGTTGAACATCAAATTTTAGAAACTAAACCTAGGAGTCTACCAGTAATGCAGATTGTAAAAATGGCACAGGAAAAAAGGCAGTGTTTAATTCTGTTTTACATAGAGTCAGAGTCACTATGAGTCAGAACTGACTCGACTACACCTAACAACAACAAAACCTAGGAGTCTGGCACTGTAACTAGAAAGTGCAGCATTCAGAACAAAACTAATGGCACTCTCTTACCTAGGAATGATAAACCTTGAAAATTATCCCAAGAGTTAATATGCTAAGACACCAGGACACGGATTACGAAGACAAGCAGAAAGAATAGGATGCCAAAAGTCAATGTCTATATAAACAAGCTTGCATATGCTACTCTAAAGGCAAATTTAACCTTGCAAGTCAAGGACCTTTAATCATGTTTGGATTTTTTCCAGAAAGTAGAGTCATTTCCTAAGAACTTCAAGGTAAAGAATACTTTTTTTCAGGACTCTTACACATGTTCACAGAGGCTAAGGATACCCTTTTGAACAAACATTTTATTTCATCAGTCTTATAAGCCTCTACCTGTCATTCAAAATACTAATTTCTTCAATCTCCCTTATTAGATAATTCATTTTCAATCACTTGAGCTTTCTTGATATGCCCTTAATGACAAAAAAGAAAAAAGAAGAGGAGGGAGAAAAAAGGGAGGGAAGAAAAAAGAAAGGAAGTTTGTTAGTATGCAGTAACTTCATTTATCAGGTTTCTGCTTTTCCAGGTAATCTCTAGATAAATCTGCTAAAAGATTAATTTGCACACTGAGTTTTCCCAGGCCCCTCACAGCTATTAATACCCAGAATAATAAGCATTGATATAGTACAATAATGAAATAAGACACCTGAGTCTCTGTTCTGGAGTGAATTCCTGCAGCATCAGCTTCCTAATGTCCCTTGGGCCCCTTTTGAACTAGAGAGAGTAAGAGAAATCTGATTCCATATTCAGATGACCATGCACTGTACTGGAGAAAAACAGCCACACACTCCTTTGAATTATCTGCATCTTTGTGTATATCTGTTTATATAGAGAGATAAGTTATTGTCCTTCTTGATAGAATTGGCTATATAAATATATTGGAAGCTGTGCTGCACTAACTTACCTACTTTCACTAATACCAAAAATGTCTTACTAAATCAAAAAGGCAGGAGAATGAATTAAATGAAACAATGCTTATTTTATGTCCTATAATCCCAAAAGTTTGAATCAGAGTTCTGATAGGTATATAAATTTTATTCTATTCCATAAATATGCCAAGTGTAGCACAATTTTCAGCAAATTGAAACTATTCCTCTTTGGGATAACATGCATTTGATCTTATTCACATTAGAAGTTTGTAGATTGAGAAATTGAGAAGATAATGAGAACAAACTAGATAGCTGACATTGGTAATCCATCCCTGTGGCAAACATGAACAATCTGGTCTGACCTCTGTCCTCAAGAACTTTATATTCTAATCATGTTTGGAAAAGATGAAATATGTTATTATTCGTTTTACCTGTACCAGAAATGAAAGTAACCGTATCTCTATTAGCCTGGACTCCTGGGCTAATTTCTATACTTCACATTTCAAGGGAGGCCTCTATTGGTCAGCTAAGAATATAATGTAATGGTTAAATACAGATAGAATTTGCAGCCAGGAGACTTGGGATAAAATTCTGGTAATCTTCACAAAGACATTTAACTTGATCAAGCATCTGTTTTCCTATCTGTGTAACTGGATGATTAATAAATTCCACCATATCAGGCTGTTGTGACCATCCGTGAAATAATGTATTCAGAAATGCTTTGAAACTATAAAGCTATGTTAGCTATTATGATATCAAGCCACATGTAGTTTTAGGAATATTGGAACACCTGTCAATAAAGTTCAGAAAGGCACTTTATTTCACTGACCATTCCTTCAACTCTCCTCTTTGGGAAGGGCAGGTGAAAAGTGCCTCATGTACTTGGATGGAAGGCACCCTATCTCCTGCTTTTTTGCATGGCTGTCAAGGACTTGTCCTCAGTGATCTTTTCTAGACTTTTGGTTGATAGTTCAATGCACTACCTAAATTTTTTTGTTGTTATTACTATTTTTATTTGTTTTTTAACAGTGCCAAAAAGGAGGCACAAAGGTTTTGCCAAACTTTACCCAAGATGGAAAATCAAAGACTTTAATTTCACAAAATTGAAAATGCAGGGTAGATAATTTTAAAGCATGATCTCAGATTGTATGCATACTCCTCAACCTCCCATTTGAGCCTTTCTTATTTCTTCCTTACCACACACAAATATGTACACATAAACACATAAATGCATGCATGCACAAGTGTCTCTTCCATTTAAAGACAAAGCAGAAATAAGATTAGGGAAAAAATGTATTCAAAGTTGATGTTGTTTTAAACTTGAACAGCTGTGTTAAAAAATGAACCAGAATCAAAGGGATGGGGAAGGAAATAAATGTCATGAAATTTGTTTTACTTGCCTTGGAGGTTTATTTATTGAGGAGTATATTTATACTATACTTAAGGTATGTTTCAATATACATGTTTCAAATATTTAAATTTAAAAATGTGAAATATTTTTAAATTGAAAAAATATATACGTTCATAGAACTTCCTTCTGGGCAGCTACATGGACAATTTCAAAAACAAGGAAAGCTGGAGGAAAAATAAACGTCTAAAAATGCATTGCCTATTCTTTGGGCACTCTCTCTCTCTCTCTATATATATATATAATGTACTCAGAAGTTCCTGCTTTTTAAAAGCAGAAATTTTTATTTTAATTTGTATTTTTTTTTTCTGAAATTGTACCAATATATACATACATCCTGATTTTAAATGTTAATAATTAATAGCTGGTTAAATTTTTCACAAAATAAAGCATCAAAAGAGACAATACCGACAATCTGAAAATATGGAAATAACGTATTTCACTTCTTCCTTAAACAAACAAGAAGCACAATTCCCACCAATTTGTAAACATTTTTTCAAAACAGTTTGTCAGCAAAATTCTGGTTAGAGAGTAGTATAACATATGAATTCAGGTTGTCCAGTCACTAGTTATCTATGCAGTGTTTCTCTCCTCCAAACCAATAGGGAAGGCCTAAGAAAACTTTTGCTGGAAAAATATTGTGTTAAAAGTGGCAAAAAGGCACTTACAAGCAAAAGTGAACCACACTAGAATTTTGACTTCCACAAGCTTCTGGTAAACTGCTCTCAGTTTTGAATAAACAGCTGAGAAAGACTGTACCAAGAAACAACTGATGGCAGGAACACTACATACATACCCTTGTTATTAGAATTGTGTCATCAATGGTAAAAATTAAGGGAATTTCCAGTGTTTCCCTTCATTTGTGTATTCCTTTCTTCCTTCAGGCCCAAGAGGCACTGGATGTTTTACCTAGCTACGGAAGGAAAAAGTTCCTAGTGCACAATGATCAACTATGCTGAGGGTTTGGAGAGACATTGATACGTTAGATACACTGCCCACTCCCTTCCTCTATGCTTCGTGCCCTCTGCTTCAATGTGTCTCCAAAACCTCTGTAATAACCTTTTCTTCGAGTCCACACCGGGTTTCAGTCACTAAGCCAGGCGCTCCCAAAGCCACACCTGGAGCCAGTGCTGGTGATGGGCACCGCCGGGCGCTGCCATTACCGGGTGAAGAGCTACAACACTTTCCGCTCTGACCTGAGGCGGCCTGAGGGAAACCCCGCCCCGCGAGGGAGGAGAAACCTGCTACAGGGCGGAACGCAAGGAGAGGTGGGCAGGACCCAGGGTGCAAAGGGACCGAGGGAGAGGCAGGGCTTCAGGTAGTGCCGGTCCAGCTGCAGTTCCCGGGGGTGTTCACGGGAAGGAAGACACAAGTTTGAATGGGACAGCAACTTGGAAGGATTTTTGTTTGTTTTATTTTTAGATTTATTTTAAATGGGCAAATGCATCTGTTTACCATCTAGTGTGAGAGTTCTCAAGGCTGTCACAATTCCCTTCCAGAGTGGAACCCACACCTTAAGTTCCCGGGCAGGAAAGGCAGCAAAAGTGTCCTGGGGTAGCAATGTCATCTCCACGCAGAATAATGCCTATTGCGCTTAGTTTTAAGTTGCTGAATGATCTGTTGTAGCTGGCAATGGAAATTGAGAGAGCCAATAGAAACTGCCTTTTCGCCCTCCCCTCCCCAGAATTCAAGTGGCACCCAGGGCACGTGCCATACCTGCCATACTCTAGAGACTCCTCTGCATCTCCACCCACCTTTTTGCTACCCCTGCCCAACCTTTCTCAGCCAAGCTTTGGGGAACTGCACTCGGGAACTAAGAGGAGGTGGTATCCCTCCAGAAGCGTAAAGCCTGCTGAATGTTGGTATTTAAACCTAGGGCAGCCAGCTGTGTTTATGACTTGTTTCGCTTTGTTGGGAAAGGGGGAAGGGAATCAGAACTCTGGGGCCTTTTTCCAAAACTGGGGTGACGAGTTTGACTTTCAATCCCACTAGCAGGGAACTCCAGTCTACTCGAGCTGCGACGGCTGCCAAGGAGGGAGGGGGCGCGAAATGTGGAAGGAAGAACAGAGATCAGGGAAAGGGAAGTAGAGGAGGCGGAGGGGCTGGCGAGGAGGGGGGGAAGGAAACAGGTGAGCTCCCACCGCACCCTTCGGAAATCCAGCGCCGCGGTCCCGGATGCGCCACCGTCCCAATCAGGAGAGGCACTTACCGGCTTTACACGGGTCCTTGTAATCTATTGTCTCCGCTTTATCCTCTTCATTCCCATCAAAAGTGTAATCATAATCGAGGCCAGCGCAGACCCACAGTTCCCCGTAGAAAACAATCCCCGAGGCCACCAGCCATGCGAGCATCCCGGGGGAAAGCGTCTCCAACCCCATCCTCCGCCCCCGGATGAAAAGGAGGGGACTAGACCCAGAAGTGAGGAGTCTGCGATCCGCGTTGATGTGCGGAGCGAAGGCAACTGGCCCTCCTCTCCCACCGGAGGTTCCCAGACAGGACCAGGGTTTTCAGGTGTCCAGGGACATGCAGATGCCGTCGGGACAGAAGAGAGGGCAAGAACTGCCCGTTACCCCCAGCTGAAGGGAGAAGTTGGCCAGGGGCCCGCGGGTAGGAGGAGGGCAGGTGAGGAGCTCTACTCCCGGGGACGGGGAGGGGCGGCTGCGGGCAAACTCGGCTCTTGCGGCGCGGGAGCTCTCAGCCTGCGGAGGAGTCCTTCTGGCGGCCGAACTTCCCGAGACCGTGGTCAGCAAGCGGCGCCCAGCGGGTTCAGCGGCCGCCGGAGCTCCAGCTCCCGCGCCGCGCCCTCGCCGCTGCCAGGACCGGGAGTCCAAGCACGAACCGCCACCGCCTCCAGCGCCCGCCGCCGCCGCCGCTCTGGGAAGATGAATCCGGTCTGCACATCAGCACATCTGAACTGAAAGGGGAGACCGAGGAAGGGGGTGGGGGGCAGTCATTTCTGCGCCAGGAGACCTTAAAAGGCTGCAAAAGCAAGCAGAGGAACTGACTGCCAGGCGAGCAAAAGTGTGAGCGTTTAGGGATGCACTATTTGCCTCCCCCCGCCCTCCCAGCTGTCTTTTACCCTTTTCCTAAGTTAGGGGAAAAAAAAAAAAAAAAATCTTCGCAGCATCTAACCCAATCACTAGCATCCTGCTTACTTATTCATACAATCAGGGTCAGGATCCGGGCCGCAGCCTCCTCTCTGACTTCTTTTGATAGTCTTATACAAACAAGCAGACGGGAGCGCGCTGACAATTCCATTTATATTTTACTAAAGATAAACATGAATAGATTAAGTATCTGCGTCCGCGAACAGCAATTAATAGATGACGTATGTGTCAGTTAAGAGTGCCTAACTGGGGGTGGCGTGAGGGATCGTGATAATTTAGCTGCAAATCTCTATT